TGCTTCTATCTTCCACCAACTTGTTTCTATCCTCCTCCCTCGACCTCTAAAGTCTCACATTTTGCTGGACTGTGTGCTCATAGGACCCTGGCGACACCACTCCTGTCTGAAGCTGAGAACGATCTCCCTCCCCTTTCTGCTCCTTTCTGTGTGAGAGACGGGTCCTCCTGTTGCTCTAAAGGGAAATGCACTCCTGGGGGTGGCCAGTAGGAATTCAGAATGTTCCCTTAAAATCGGTGGTATGGATCTGTGAGGTCTGATATGGAAGCCACTCGCCACATGTGGCTATTTAAGATTAAAAATTAAAATGACATAAAATTAAAAAATGGTGTTTATCAGGTGCACCCGCTGTAGCCCCAGTGCTCTGCAGCCAGGCCAGGGGCCGCCACGCAGGCAGATGGAGCATCCGCCCTCCAGCACAGCGGGACGTCCCGCTGGACAGGGCCCCGGAGAGGACACCTACAGCCCAAGTCACTCGTTAAATGGCTGCTCCGTGCTGGGTGCCTCCACGTCAAACAAACGTCAAACAAGCTCTTGTGCCCTGGCCTGACAGCCACGTTAGCATTAGTGGGGGAAGGTGTACTTTGATGTGTGAAAATTTGGAAAAGTCGGTAAGTTGGAGCCTGTACAGTATGGTGACTAAGTGATACTGTGAGCATACTTGAAAGCTGCCAAGAAAGTCAATCCTAAAAGTTAACTTTGTCTGGTGACGGATGGAACTAGACTTCAGGTGGTGATCATCTCACAATGTGTACAAATAGCGAATCATTATGGCATACACCTAAAATCAATACAATGCTATATGTCAATTATACCTCAATAATTTTTTTTTTTTTTTTACAAATAAACTAGTGGAATTGTAGAAAATCCACTATCTTATAATTAATAAACTAGCAAGCTCTGAAAACTAACAACCATTTTTTAAACAAATCTTCTTTTTGGTCCAGGTAACACATTTATATGCTTCAAAGTCAAAACAATATAAAAAGACACAGAAACCTGCTGTCCCTCTAACCCCTCCACCTGGTGGCCTTGGTGCCCCACCTCCTCTGCACCTCGCCTAGTTTCCTTTAGGAAACTACTTCTGCTAGTTTTAAAAATATATATTTCTAATTTTATTTGAAATATATATTCATTCTTACTTTTTGCATTTTTGTACACAAAAGGCGGATCTTGTATAATTATGCTGCATCTTGCTTTTTTCACTTAACAATATGGAGAATGAGGAGGTCCCTGTACTCCAGTGGAGAGGTGCCCAGAGCAAACCCCTACAGGTGGTAAGCACCCCTGGCAGGTTATGCCCCACGGCGCTCGAAGGCCTCACCTTGACTAGAATGTAGCTGTGCAGGATCATGAGGTTGGTGGCCATCTCCGAGGGAATCTTGATCTTCTGGGATTTAAGTTCTGCGTACATACTGAAGAGCAGGTCATGTGCATTCCGATAGTTTCCTGGGAAACAAGGTGGTGAAATGACATTACTGCAAAGGATGAATTCTGAGGACTTTCTGTGGGCCCTCATTTTACAAATGACTTAATCATGTTACTAGTAATACCCTAATAATTTCTTACATCAAGTAACTCAGTAGTTTTTCCCACTGGAATTATGGTCCTAACATCCAGCCAGCCCGTCAGGAAGAAAACGGTGGCGACATCCTAGACGTCTCTCTTCCTCCGGGCTCCCACCTGGCCCCGGAGTTCAATGGGTCATCAAGTTCTGAGTCTCCCTAATTCAGCCTCTCTTCCTGGGCCTCTGCCAGCGCTTCTTGTCACCTCTCTCAGCATCATCTGCCTCCATTCTGATGTCAGTGTTCTTGTAAAAGCCTCAAGTCTCATCCCACACCCCAAAACCTCAGGTCACACCCCTACAAAAATCCTCCCCCAGGCCTCAGGGACCAAGTGCAATTCCTCAGCAGAGACTTCAGCCCTCCAGGATCTGCCTCCGCCAACCTTCCCTGCCTCCTCTTTGCCCGCCCCGCCCGCTCAGTCATGGCCAGGCCCACGGTGTCCCTCACTCCTTCGAGCACGTGTGTTCTCACGTGCTCAGGCCCCCAAGGAGTAGAGGAAACAGCAGGTGACCGGGGCAGGCTTTAGTGGAGCTATTCAATAGCCCCCTGTGATGATGAGTTCTGTCACTTCTCTGGAAACTTAAAAATGATGTTTCCCCCCAGTCGTCTTGGTTCAAAGCCATCCTCGATTAGAATCGGGCTCCTCTTCCCTGGTGGGGGAGGGTTTGGGGAGCTTGATTCCACTACTCGTGTGGGGAGAGGGACCTACCGGCAGACTGCTCTTCCCTGGCGATGATAATGGCAGTCCGGGCGGCTTCCCGGTATTGCTTCAGGGCCATGTACAAGCGGAACAGGTACTTGGCATCCTGACATAGAAACCATGAGAGAAACGTCACTTTCTTCAGTAGCTAAGGGGAGAAACACCTAAAATTTCGCATTTCAGTTTGAATCATATTTGCTTTCCAGTAACTGAGGGTTGATACTGTTTAAAAAAAAAACACGAATAAATAATTAGTTTATCAAATATTTACCTAGAGTTTAATATGTGCCAGGTAATATTCTAAGTACTTGAGAAATACTAGCTCGTTTACATCTTCATGCCCTCCCTGAGGAAGGCACAGTTACAGAATTCACTGACCCTCCACGGGACCCGGCTTCACTCTGTTCCTCACCCCGCTCCACGGAGTTCCCTCTCACACGCTGAAAACGAAGTGTGTTCTTATACGATGTACCAACTTTGCAAACTTTCAAAGAATTTTACACCTATGTAAGTTTCTCAGGCCGATACACTTTTCTTTGGCCTTTGAGCAGTTTCCATTCCTAGTCTCCTTAAACCTGGACAATTTCACGTCCTTGGTGCTGGCTCCCGATGGCTATGACAAGTGGGTGGAAGGAGAGGTGGTTTACAACAGTTTAAGGGCCTGTGCCCTTTTGGCAGGTTAACTTGGCCTCCCTGAACCTCAAGGTTTTTATCTGTAAGGAGCAGATAGTGGGTTTGGAGGTCAGGACTGTTACAGTCCTCTCCAGGGGCGACATTCTAGTGCCTTCTCTCCAAACCCGTGACCCGAGTTCCTTCACAAGCAGATCCCCTTGGACCCCAAAGCAAAAGGGAAGGGAGGATCGGGGGCATCTCTCAGGATGAGTCTGTCCTCACTGGGACTGAGAGAAGACCAGTTTCTGTGCAAACTCCAAGAGAGTCACACACTTTAAAAATAGCTTCTTAACGACTTATTTCTACTTCATATTTCTAGTGAGTTACTTTTATGCTACATATGATTTTTATTAATTCCTAATATTTTTGAAATACAAATAAAGTACACTAATTTTCAGGAGTGAGTGCTAACTCATAGTTCTAGTAATCATTTTTCATAGTTCTAGAATAACTAAAGCTCCATAACATTTGAGGAAAATTGTGGGTGGTGAGGATTGCTATCAGAGCGCTGTGGCCGTTTCATAGGTGGCGATGCTTATTTCAGAGAGAGAATGTACAGTGTCCTCCAAGGAGCAGGGTCTGTCGAGATGACCCGAGGCTACATGCAGAGAGAGAATTTTACGTCTGTGGTGCAAAAGCCACAATATGTAAAAACAAGACAGAGGGAGTAAAGTCTAACTGAGACACAGGAACCGCGTGAAGAAAGCACTCCAGGACCTTCGGCAGGCCGTCGCTCTCCCCCATCAGGTGGTCTATCAGCTGACTGGTCAGCAGTTCATCTTGGGCCTGACCAACCTGTTTAGGAAGACAGAGAACCTGTAAATTCAAATCTTTTTTTTTTTTTAAATATATTTTATTGATATTTTACAGAGAGGAAGGGAGAGAGATAGATAGTTAGAAACATCGATGGGAGAGAAACATCGATCAGCTGCCTCCTGCACAACTCCCACTGGGGATGTGCCCGCAACCCAGGTACATGCCCTTGACCGGAATCGAACCTGGGACCCTTCAGTCCGCAGGCCGACGCTCTATCCACTGAGCCAAACCGGTTTCGGCTGTAAATTCAAATCTTAAAACTAAAAAGAGGTGGGGAGAAAACAGATAATCTGCTAAGGAAATGGGATTTAAAAACATGTAAAAATTCCTATTGTCAAGTGCCTGAAACAGAAGCACAGGTCTTCTTTCATTCGTAGAGTTGCCATTAATAAAAACCTACCTTAGAAACTGTAGCTTTTCAAAGTGGCTATATCAAAATCTACTTTTAAAAAAATATACACAGAGAGGACATACTTCTTGGATGTTTCAATAAAAACTTTCTTAAGGGAAGTGATTGTTAGCATCTAGAGAATAATATCTGTGATTTTACTTTAAAATGATGTAGGGAAGGAGGGTGGGGTATGAACAAAGGAAGACTGGCTATGTGTTGATAGCTGTTGATGTTAGATAATGGGTTTAATGAGAGTTTGTTACAACATTTGTATATATGTTTGGAAATGTCTTCAAAGGGTTTAAAAACATGAAAGTTTCATTATAGAGCTTACTTACAGTTTCAATTGCCATTTCGATTGCTGCATTATTTTCCGAGCTTGGACATTTTAGGAAGTGTTTAAGTGCCTGAAATGAGAATTGTATAACAATTAAAACTCTTTGGACTGCTTCCACATTGAGAAAAACAAAGCTTTGATGCACACAAAAGGGATTATAGTCTGTAAAAGTGTCATCTTGCACAGAGTTGGATCTTAAAATATATACTTAACGGGCTGAGTTTAGTTTAAAAAAATGGAAGGATCCAGTGAACCCTCTGAAGAATATAGCTCATTTCTGATGAAATGACAATAAAAAGTGTGCCCTCTTTCAGCAGGATTTATTTTCATTCATTTACTGATTCAACAAGTATTTATGGACAACCTGTTACTATGTATATGAGACTGCTAGATGCTACGGAGAAGACCAGGGGGGTATGCTATGGTACCTTTTTGTACTATGTACAATCTAATTGGGGTGATCGGTGTGATGTGCTGATAAGGAACCATTTGGGCCATAGCTGTCTAATTCCTGAACATCATACCACCACATCTATGAGGAAATGTAAGGTTATAACAGCTTAAAAGACTGGTAAGTGGGGAAGAGGGCAGAGAGGAATCTCACTGGAAAACAAGGATGGGGAAAGGCGAGCGGAGTGCAGGATTCTTCAGTGGAAATAGCTGGGTGCCAGATTGGGAAGCTCAGGCTGGTTGGTCCAATTGGGGAAGGGCTTGGACTTAGTATCGAAGACGTAGAAATGGCAAATGGATGGCCTGAAGGCAGGTTCACACACACAAATGTTTCTCTGCCCAGCAAGGTAGTCTATGAATATCTGTGCCCGTATTTTAAAACTGGGAGACTCAGGCTTCCGGTTCTTATTAAAAATCATACGATCTGGCACGATGGGGCCCACGCTCCTAGCTGGCAACCACCTTGTGGAGGGAGCAGCAGCTGTTCCCTCAGACGCCACCCAGCGGTCCCCGTCCTGTCGCACATGAGCCAGCTTTCCCCACAGCTTCCTGTATTTATGTCTCTCGCTTGCACACAGTAACCCTACGTTAGGGGCTTCTTAGCACTGAAAGTACCATTTGGGGAACAAAGGGAAGGATAAATGATAGGGAGAGAAACTAAAAACGGAAAATAGGAGGAAACTATTGCAATAACCTAAGGGGAAGCTATCTGGTTTTGGGTTAAATTGATGGTAGTTAGAATGATAAGAAGATGCGAGAGATATTTTGAAGGAAGAATGGGATTGGCTGTAGCAGAGAGAAGAATTTAGAGTTTAATTAAAAACATAGTATATTTTAAATTATCTCCTATAACCATTCCTGTAGAGTCCAATGTATGTTTCCTTGGCACATACTAACTCGTGAATATTGGCCACACAGCAAGAAGAATTTTCCAGCCTGAAAATGCCTTTTTTCTCCTTCAAAATATAAGGCAATGCTTTGATAGTCTTCATTAGTAGTGTTTTCAGAACCTACAATAGAAATTCATTGAGTAAAATATTTGAGCAAAAATTTACTTTTATTGTTAACTAAAAATAAGATCTAAAAACAGGTTGATTAAAAACTTCACAAGCAAATAATGTTATTATCAGTGTCTGCTTTCATCACAAAACACATTCATCATAATTACTCCACATATCAACTTTGTTCCATCTTTTCCCTCTACCCAGGAATCAGGAGAGGAAGTTGTGAGTCTCTGTGAGAATCCAGGCTATGGTTTGACATTACTCCTACCAACTTTTACCATTCTTTAAGAGTCTCAATCTCATTTCCTAAAACAGGAATAACTATGACTATAATCTCAACCATGACTTGCCTAGAGTTTCAGAACTATCAGAAGCCAAGTTAACTGTAATGCAAATGTAACCCATCTCCCTTTCTCAGCAATGCCTGGTCTAAACAATAGTCTGTATGCATTTGTCAGGTAAGGAAGGAAGATGACATTCAAGTGGCCAATAGATGCCATTTAAAGAAAATTACTGTTACTCTTTTGGTTTGAGGCTTAACTATATTAAGCACAGAGGAAGAAAGCTGGAGTTCTAATTCATTGTTTACATTTACTCATGGGAGTTGGAGACCCAGTAGGATACTTGTGCCTCTACCCCAAGGCAGATATGGAGTTTATAAGAGAAGGGGATAAAGAAAGGTGGAGAAAAGTGTTGGGTTGTGTGTTTTTTTTGGGGGGGGGGTGTGGGGGGATTGAAGGGAGTGTGTATGATCCTATATAATAAAACCCTAATATGCAAATTGACCAAATGGTGAAATGACCAGTGGAACGACTGGTTGCTATGACATGCACTGACCACCAGGGGGTAGACGCTCAATGCAGGAGCGTCTGCTTCCCCCCTGACCCCAAGAGGGAGGTGACTGGCTGGGGCGAAAGGGGGGCGCCAGGCCACCAGCCAAGGCAGGTGCCAGCAGGACCCCCCCCCCCGATTGCCCCGCCCACCAGTCACTCCTCAGATGGCCCTGACCGCCGGCCAGGCCTAGGGACCCTACCCTATATATCGGGAACAGTCTCTTAGATTTAAAAATTAAAACCTGGCAAGGCTACTCTAACACTGAAAAAACAGGATGATGCCGTGATGACATGCATGGACTCTGGCTTGCACATTTTGTGGTCAGCCCTGATTCTGACACTTATAACTGTGTGACAAAGCCAATTACTTAACTTCTCTCTGCTTCAGTTTTTTTCCACCGATAATATGGGGGGAATGGTACTACTGCCTCAGATGGATCATGTTACATACTACTTTTTATAATCAGGGCAAAAAAATGTAGCTGCCCATAAAACAGCAAGATGCCTTTCACCTGTATGAAAAGTATGGTCACTGGTGCATGCAGCGTCCCAGATTGCGAGAGGGATGTCTGACTGCCGATTTAGGCCTGACATCCCCCGAGGGGTCCCGGATTGCGAGAGGATGCAGGCCAGGCTGAGGGACCCCCTCACACCTGTGCACGAATTTCGTGCACTGGGCCTCTAGTATAGCATAAGCCACATCCTTATGAAATTAGAGAAATTTAAATAATTTAGTGCAATGATGATTTTAAAAAATTGATTTCAGAGAGGAAGGGAGAGGGAGATAAAAACATCATTAGAGAATCATTGATTGACTGCCGTCTGCATGCCCTCTACTGGGGATCAAGCCTGCAACCCAGGCATGTGCCCTGACCTGGAATCGAATCACGACCTGGTTCATAGGTCGATGCTCAACCACTGAGCCACACTGGCTGGGCAATGGTGATTTTTAATGTTAGAACAGAAATATCATCTGTCAAGTTGGGCATTAATAATGCTAATGTTGCTTTTACGTATACATCCTTTTTTTCAATAACTATTTTCTCCACTTATCTGAATGACTTCCCAAGATATCAGAAGATGCAGTTAACTATTTCTTCCCTCGAAGACTTAAAATATTTCTCATGAATCCTATCATCAATTCTTAAGTAACAAGAAAGGACAAATATTTTATGATTCCACTTATATGAAGTGTCACGAATAGTCAAATTTAGAGACAGAAAGTCGAACAGTGGTTACCAGGGGCTGGAGGAAGGGAAGTGGGGAGAGTTACTGTTTAATGGATACAGAGTTTTAGTTTAGGATGATGAAAAGGTTCTGGAGATGGATGGTGGCAATAGTTGCACAGCAGTGTGAATGCACTTACTGTCACACTTAAAAATGGTGAAAATGGTAAATTTACGTTACTTATATTTTACCACCCCCCAAAACAAACAAACAAACAAACAAACTCCAAAGCAAAACAACATGACAATGTTATGTATGGTCCATAAAATGAAAACCTGAAAGTTATTTCAGTAGTTTCTAAGAATAATCGCAAATATGGGAAGGAAAACCTGTAAGCAGGTGTTCTCAGAATATAAAATTCTCTTTTGATCTTTCAAAATCTTTAAAAGCCACATCTTTTAGCCGAAACCGGTTTGGCTCAGTGGATAGAGTGTCGGCCTGCGGACTGAAAGGTCCCAGGTTCGATTCCGGTCAAGGGCATGTACCTGGGTTGCGGGCACATCCCCCATAGGAGATGTGCAGGAGGCAGCTGATCGATGGTTCTCTCTCATCGATGTTTCTAACTCTCTATCTCTCTCCCTTCCTCTCTGTAAAAAATCAATAAAATATATATTTAAAAAAAATAAATAAAAAATAAAAGCCACATCTTTTGTATATCATTCTTCATCAAAAGTAACCATATATTCTTTTTTTTTAGTAACTATATATTCTTAATTTATAATTCAATTTTTTAAAATTTATAAAAACATTCACTTTTTCAAAACTCATTCTGCATTTACGGTATATCACCTTCATTTGGGAACCTTGCTTTTCCACTGGCTGATCCATAGCAGGATTTGGGAAATCTGGCTTCTCTGCTCTTGGAAGTTACCCCCAAATCCTTAAGTTTTGAAAATGGTCTTATAATTGCACATCACCGTTAAGGTGAGAGTAGGGATCCTGAAATCCAAGAAGTACCATAGATATTTGTGTGTTTCTATGTAAAAATGGTGGGTATGCCCATGCTTGTGCTTATCCCAACCTGATCATTAGATTGTGAGAATCAAAATGTTTATATGGTAAAAATCCTTAAGAGAAATCAGGGGAAACAATGATATTTACCAATAATATCTGCATAGATTTCCATCTTGTTGTGCTGCTGAGCCAGTGTGAACGCTTCATTGTTACATTTGGACATGACAAGAAACTGGATGGCAGATCCGTAGTCACCGAGTTGTAGGAAAAACCTAAAACAAAGTGCTAACTGAGCTCGACTCGTTTCAAATACGTTTGTCATTTACAAAAGAAAATGTTTCCCAACCATGAGAAGCCATTAACAATAAAAATGTATGAGGTGAACTGCAGTTCTATAGTCTATGATGCTTATATTGGAAAAACACCCTCTCATACACTCATACAGTGACCACAACAGTGGTTTTAAACACTTAGGCCTAAAAAAAAAAAAAAAAAAACAAAAAAAAAAAGAAAGAAAAAATAATAAATATTCCACTTAAATTTGTTTGCTAAAGGGAAGCAGGGGCTTTCCTCTAAGGCTAGTTTTTGGAAATCAAACTATCAATGCCTTATGCTACCTGGCTACCATTTTGGCTCCATCCAGGGACTGGGTCTCTCTGACGATACTGACAGCCTTTTCCGGATTGTTGAGGTGATCCAGATAGATTCGGATGACACTGTTCCACTGCTTTGCGTTCTCATAAGCCACCACAGCTTCTTTGTATCTGTAAGAAATTCTTAGTTCAGACAAACTTTCTTCCACTGTCACATTTGGGGGAAAATGTCAATAAATGGTTGGGGCATTTTTCTCTTTTATGGTGGTAACTGATTATTTTTCTGGAACTTCTTTTTCAGAAGGAATACCAAGAACGATCTCACTAAAATATGTTCTTTATAGGTTTAATAAACTAACAGTAAAATACCAATACTGAATTTTGTCTCCTCATCTGAATCATCTCTATATATAAAGCGGTAATATGCAAATTAGCCAGGCGTCACCACCGGCTCTGGAGGCGGCTGCATCATGACCAACCGCTCAGGAGGAGCTGTGTGCGCAGATGGGCGGGAGGGGACAGCGTGCTGCCCCCAGCCCCAGCCGACACACACCAGGGGTGGGGGTGTGCTCCGAGTGGCTGTGGCGCACCCCCAGTGGGTGGCAGTGGCGGCTGAAGTGAAGCAGCCCGGGTCCTGGGTGCTGGAAGGGAGCCAGGTGCCGGCAGCCAGGGGAAGGAAAGCCTATTCTGGCACGAATCTTCGTGCAACAGGCCTCTAGTATCTCCATAATATTTTATATTTTACTATTTTTCAAAGTTGAAATATTACAATATTAATATAGGCTTATTTTAGAAAACAAAATATAGATTTTTACAGTTATAAAGCTTAACAGTGATACAGAAAATCTTTGTGTTGACCTCTAGATGGCGCTCAACTTCTCCAGTACACCAGCTCTCCAGCTTGTTTATTTAGTGTATCTATTTCCTAAGGTTACTTTTCTAAAAGTGGAGGGTATTAACCTTTAAAAATCTCTTAATACATATCGTTCAATAACTTTTTAAAGGCTTTAGAAATTCATACTACCATCAATAAGGTATAAAAAGTGCATTTGGACAGTATGGTCATTGATTTAATATAATCTCTCCCAATATGATAGGTTAAAATGATACAGTTGCTTTAATTTAGTTATTATTAATAAAGTAGAGATTTTTCATATTTACATGAAATGCAATTTCATAATTGTATTTCCTCCTGAGGGTCTCCTTGTCTTTTTCCTCCTAGCATCTTTGAGTTTCCTGTATGAAGTTGCAGGAGACCTTTGTGTATTCAGGATATTAACTATCAATTGCTATATTTTAATACTGTTTTGAAGCTTAAAAAGTGCAACCACAGCTGTGGAATTCATGTTTCTTCACTTTTTCTCTCTCTGCATCAGTAAGTTATCCTCCTTAAGAAAAATGACTATTACCAACTTTATTTTCATGCCATATTAACTCAAAATTCCCACCCCTAGTATTTAACACTCAAATAAAAAGAGTTAATACTCTGCATTTGAATACATGCAGACTCGACTGAGGTATATCAAGTTTGAGAGAACTTAACGGTCTGGCACTTCAGGCCAGGCAGGGCAGGGCAGGGTTGTTTGCTGTTTCTCTGCGTTGCCTTTCTCAGAGGGCTGCAAATACCACTGTTAATGTATAAAACATTACTTTACATTGATGAAAATTTGAGAGATCGTACAAACCTCCCATCCGCTTCTTTGGCTTTGGCATACTGCAGGTAAATCTTTGGGGAAGAGACATGAGGCAGAAGCTCACCGACTTTTGCCCTAGAAAGGTGGGCGTAGGAGAAAAATATCACCATGATGTTCATTCTAAAAGTAGCTTCCTACAATCAAACGTTACAGTTATCATGAGCTTTTAAAAATCTTGGCTCCTATAGTTTAAAGATTTAATTGTTTTTTCTCTTGACCACCCCTCTCTGCACCCTGGTAGGAAAATGGTGGTTAGTTCCTTAACTCTTTGGGGCAACCCCTATTTCTTCCTTCTAGTAACTTACCTGATCAGGGATTTCCCCAGACCAAGTCAACAGAATGTGCTGTTCTTTGAAAAAAGTACTATTAACATGAATTCATATAAAAAGAAAAAAAAAGGAGATGGAGGGAAGGCCCAGGTAGGAGGAACAGGATGTGTAGGGAGGAGGAGCGACAAGGAAACAGGTGGGAAGACCCTGGGACGCATTCATTTCCATACCTGCTCAGAACAAATTTCAGCAAATTCTTACCAATTCTTATAGCGTATGTAAACAGAT